GAAGTAGAAAATATCTTATAATATCATTACCTCTTTTAATTATATCATATTAATGATATCTACCCCAAAAAATGAGATATAGAAACATTGTGTTTCAAAAACACATTAAACAATTAAGGGCAACATCGAAGGAGATTTAATTTAGTTGGGAAGAAGTTTATTCTTCATCATGTTGATCAAGGTTCAATTACTTAAGGAGCGCATTGAGAAGGTAATTCTTGATTAAAAGGAATATATCCCCTAGTCATGGTGTGAGCCTCTCATAAATGTGAGCTCATGTTGGGAGACTCTAATATGACCTTCGGAAGAGACTCCTCAGTCGGAAAATGGCTTGGAGTGGACAATGGTAATGTGGTTAGGCTTTGCGTCCAGAATCTCACCACTTTTGGGTAAATCCTATGATTGTAGGCCTGTTTGGATTAAATAAGAGTGAGCTTAATGAGGATGTCAATTGTTACTAACAAGTAAGGGTGATTGTAATGTCCTAATTTTACATAAGAAGAAGAGTACAATTACAAATAATATATAAGTATGAAGATTAATCATTACTAACAATTCAAGTTTAAATTTTTTAGAATTTGTAAACCTTACCTTGAAGAGTTATTGTTAGTGACAACGAAATTTGGCTCGAGTCACCCAATTCGTTAAATAATTCCTTCTCAAGTAACAAAAGAAAATGCACTGCCCCAGCTGGTAACCAATTGGGTTATTGGGGATTACCTCTAAAAACTAGGGGTGAGTGGAATTAACCGCAACCAAAAAAATTACCTAAACTTAGCCAAAATTATAGTTGGTTGGTTGAGTTTGATTGGTTTCTAAGGTTTTTTTTACTAGAATCTAAAGTGAATCAATTTCAAATGATTTGGTTTTTAGTTATTAGGTCTAAAAATTGAAAAACTAGTGAATAACAAAAGTGTAATAAAAAAATGCCTGTCCAAAAACTTTTTACATAAATATTTTAATTATTTACATATTTTTCAGGGTTTTTCCCCATTATCTACCGAATTTTTTCTTTACTTAGATAATTTTTTTTATGATTGAAATTCATAAAATAATAATTAAAAAATAAAAAAGTCATAAATATATATAAAAATTTTTGGTTAAAATTCGAAACCAAATGATTATTCAAAAAATTAACCAATAGCGATCAATCTGAACTTTTCAGTAAAATGAATGATTTTTAAAAATTAATCACCACAAAGTTATTTAATTAATAAAGCGGCTTCAACTGCAAACAAAACTAAGCCGTACTCATCTCTACTAGAAAAATTAATGTCGCGTCTTAAATTTGTCAGTTTCCTTCAACTCTTTTAACGAGGGCAATAGTCTATTGCGACTATTACGTATTTTTAGTAAGGGTGGGCGGTGGGGTAAGGAGAGCTGGAGTCAAATATAATACGCCTCTACAATGTTTTCGCTTGTGAAAGCGA